TGTACTCGTAGAGCAGCGTGCCGCCGCGCCCGGGCAGCGTTATGGCCAGAACGCGCCCTTGCTCGTCCAGTCGCATCTGTCATGAGAAGATAAAGTCTCATCCATCTGTTTTCCACAAGCAAATACAGTAATTTTACTTCAACGTTATTTATGGAGTCATTATATGAGCGTACGGACTATGAATCTTGAATTATCCTTGTACATATGATGTTAAAATCTACTCTGCTGATCGATAAGTGTGAATGATTAAATCGAAAAGCAGCATCACTGAGAATGTAGATATTCTGTATAATATACCTGTAGAGCAATGCTGTCAATAGGCAATGCTAGCCTCAACCTGTAGAAGCCGAGGGATGTAGAGAGCTGAAGGGTATAAGCTGAGCCGCGGGGTGTTACAACCTCGCGAAGAGACCCTGCGTCATCATAAACCAAGCCGTAGGCCCTTCCACTCGGGTGAGTTACCTTCTCGGGCTGCGTGAAGAAATGACCATGCTTTGAGGAGAAATTTTTCATTCACTTTAGCGTCAACAGAATTATACATTTATGGTTATTGTATTCCATTTATTTGTATGGCGCACATTTGCATTCGGGAAGGGAGGTCAGACATGTAGATCACGTATCTCAATTCTTAAATAATTCCACAACACTGGATATTAACTTCTGTGAAATTGCACTTCACGAAGATCAAATTAAGTTCTATCTAACCTAAAGTAAGTCATTTCTACACTTCAGCAACACTTCTACAACGTACCTTAGTGAAGTGACTGCGATATTCGTACTTGACATCCTTGCCGTCGGCGTACACGACCGCCACCAGCCTGAGGAAGTCGTCGTAATAATAGTCCTCGGAGAGGTTCCCCCTGACCCAGCTGGTGATGTGGCCCCAGTGGTCGTAGGTGACGTTGCTGGCCACCAGAGGGGCCACAGGCACCCAGCGGATGGGTCGGCCGAGGTGGTCATAGGTGATGTTGACGAGCATGTGACCCGAGACAGAGAGAAGCGCTTCCGTGGAAGACACAGGGTCGTAGCTCAGGGTCAGGAGGTCGGCTCCGTTCACCCTGAGAGTGCCAGAGACCTGCAACATGGCCAAAATGTAAGAATATGCAGATTACATTGCTTGCTTGTATCTATTGTATCATATTACATATTCATACACCATACATACTGTATGCAACAAATGCACTCTCGTATATTACCACATAGCAGTAAAGAAACACACCAAATGAAACAACAGAAATGAAGCATGATATTTCAAAATTCCCAGACATAAAGTGAAATCACCCACTACCTTCATGCCATTGTGGCTGTCGGTTGTAGTGGCGGGCGAGTAGCTCCACTCGTAGCGGTTGACTGTGTTTCCGCTGATGTGCGTCTGCTGGCGGGACAGAACGGGGAACATCTCGGCCGAGGTCGGACTCGTCGATTCCAGCACTCGGTAGGCGGTGCGTTCGAGCGACACCTCGTGCTTCCACGCGGTCAGGATTCTCAGCGGTCCTTGGCCTCCCATCTCCGCTAGAGCCTCCACGGGACCTGAAGAACAAAAGTAAAAATGAATGGTCTTTGACGATGTGAATGTGTCGGTGTTCATTTCCTCAAAGATGGAAGAATACGGAACTGATGTGTATAAACTGCTTAATTAAAAGTTCATACTGACCTGATGTATGATTGAAGGTGTTGCCCCTGAGCCTTGTAATGACAGGTTCCTTGCCATCCCTGGTCACTGTCACCTCTGCACCACGCACACTCAGGTCAAAATTGAGGTGGATGACCTGGCCAGTGGGCAGGACGGCCTGGATGAGGCGTCCCTGGGCATCGTACTCGTAGCTGTAGGACCTACCCACCGCCTCGACCTTGGAGCGCATGCATCCCGTTGCCCCGTGGTAGTTGAAGGTGATGTTGTAGCCGTCGGGAGCCACCAGCTGCTGCAGCATCTTCATCATGGACAGCGTGATCTGGACGCGCTGCTTCTGCGGGTTCTCGATGGCCTTGACGAAGCCCACGCGATCGCGGATGATCTGGAAGCGATTGCCGGCCGAGTCTGTGACTGTGAGCAGCTTGCCCGTGTTGGAGTTGTCGCTGTACGAGAACTTGTAGATCGTCTGGCCCGTGACCAGGTTGTGGGTCTCCAGGTGCTGGCCGAAGCGGTTGAACACGTACACTTCATGCGTGTCGGGGGAAAAGATCTCGTACTGTTTGCGCTCGTTGAGTTCCGGCAGGAGGGACCTGACGGAGCGCACGCGGTACCCTGCCTGGTCACTCACGTGCAGGACGCCGTCGGGAGTGACAGAAATGGACGAGATCGACGAGAAGATGGCCGACGTCGCCGACACGTTGTCGTAGGTGTGGCAGTAGCAGGTGGCGTCGCGGCAGTTGCAGCCGGGGTCCGCGCCGGCGAAGGTGCTGATGCGGCCGTCGCTGGTGATGATGCGGACGCGGTTGATCCGCTGCGTATCGCTCTCCGCGATGTACAGCTCACCTGTGAGTCACAGAGTTATCATAATTATTTTTTTGTCATCTACTTTGTCTGGCTCGTGTAATGTTTCAACACAATAAAGGCCGTTTATAACATCCAGTTATCTTTAAACACCATATTACGGTGCTTGAGGGGGAGTCTGAAAGATCCTTTCTCTTTTATCCCTATCCCCTCCTTTTTTCTTTTACCTCCCATTTCTCCCTTTCCCCTTTTCCCTATCTGTCTATCTATTTATCTCTCTCTTTCTCTTTATTTCTCCCTCTCCCTCTCCTACCTCTTTCCTACCTCCTCCCTCTCTCCCTCCCACTCTATTTCTAATTCAGTCTCTCCTCCCCTTCTCCTCTCTCTCGCCGTCCCTTCATTACTTTTAGGCCAGAACTCACCCTGCGGCGAGAAGGCAATGGACTGGGGGTTGAGCAGCAGGGCCGTCTGGGACATGTCCGAGGGCTCGTGGGGCGGCAGGGGGCAGTTCAGGGACCGCCCCGTCAGCACCTGCAATACGAAACAGCGTGGTGAGAAAGGTGTTAATTAACTTCATCTTCCTATGGCATGCGGGATAATGCCATATCCTTATATTAGTATAAGCCTCTAAAGATGACACTAATATCAATCTATATCTGTAATGATAATGCTATAGTTACGTAAGCGTCACGATACCAGTATTAGTGTATAGCCTTAATTCGAACATAATCGTTATGTAACAGTATTAACGATGGCATTAGTCCACAACCCATTCCCTTAGAGCCAAACCATAATACGAACCTGTACTCGATTATCAGGCGTGACGCGGAGCACCAAGTGGTCGTCGAGGATGTGAAGGGAGCCGTCGAGAGGAGAAATGGCCAGCTCGGTGGGCCAGCGGAGGTGCAACTGGTCGATGTTGATGGTGCCGTTGCAAGGGACGGGAGCCCAGTGGGAGCGGTGGTCGTGGCCTCCGATCAGCGTGTGGATATCGCCGGCTGGACTCACCACGCGGATGTTCGTCCCGTCGGCGATGTAGATCTCGCCCGACGACGAGATGGCCAGGCCTACGAGTGAGGGAGTCGAGGAATTGTAAATACATAATATGGCTTTCGTGAGATGTATTCCTCGTACAAAAATGGAATTCTAGGAAATGGTTTAAAGGGATTACACTTTAAAGAAAATTATTTACATTAAATTCCACTGCAAAGGAAGGGTTTGCAGCGAATTCATCTTGTCAATTAAAAAAAAAAAAAGAAAAAAAAAAGCAGAAGTCGTTTTACAAGAACTACATAATAAAGAAAAGGCCAAAATTCTTTCTCAAAATATATCTGGGACAATTTTGCTTTCTCAATGTAAATAAAGATCTCGAGTTGCTTTTTAATACCAGTTCTATCGTCAAGAATTAATCTAACGTGACATAAAAAATACAAATACAAAACAAAAAAACAAAACAAAAACAGACAGACAGACAGACAGACAGAAAGAAAACGGTGTAATATAGCGGTTGACGTAAAAATGCTTTCGTATTTAAAATGCATATTCTCAGCGGGATATCGCCATATTTCTCCAGGCTTAATGAGTGTTTTTTCATCTCTATTAAAAAAAAAACTTTCTTAATGACACGTAATTTTACCGCCATTTTTTCTCCCCTTTCTATTTTAAGCTCGGTGATCAAGCTGGCTTTTTAACATTTTAAAGTAAAATGATTATAATAATGAAGATAAATTGATAAAAAGAAAACATTACCACACACATCTAAATATTTAATGGATCTGTATACAAAACGACTGAAATTGTCAACAGCACAACAAAACCCCAAATACATTTTCTATCTGGCGGAGGGAAATGACAAACAGACCTCATTACACTTCGTTGATATTATTTATATCGCATTACCAAGTTCCCTTAAGCAAAAATTTGTGATAGGAAAGAGCTAAGGTTTATAGCAAGAGAAAGAGATAAGGTTTATAAGGTTTATATTACAATGAAAAACAAAGATGGTATATAGGAGAACCTCTGACGAATTTATTTCAATATCTAATATATATTAATATATATTTTTACTATGCCTCAAGAGTGAGTCAGAGAGAGGGTACATAAATGATAATATAAGTATGGAAAGAATAGCATATAACTAAGTGAAACTACATTTCTGAAAAAAGTGTTAATGGAATCTATATATAAAAATTTCCTCTATCTCCTAACGAATAAAAAATAATAAATAATAATAATAAATGGAAACAGTGAAACAAAGGGTTAAACAAAAATAAAGTAAACAAGACAGAATAACAAACAAATAACTAAAGTGTAAATCAACCAATGAATCAACAGATGATTAAAGACTAATAGACCTATCCTTGCAAGCCCCCTCTTTCCCCCTTCTTTATCATCTTTCCCCTGTTTCCCCCTTTTTTAATCCTCGTTTCCCCTCTTTCCCTCCTTTTTATCCTCGTTTCCCCTCTTCCCCCCTTTTTAATCCTCGTTTTCCCCCTCTTTTCCCCTTATTTCCCCTCCCAGTCCTCACCTTTGGGATAGGTCAAGCGCGCGTGCCTGGCCATTCCTC